TGTAGATGTAATAAAGGAAATACAACGTAAGCAGGGTAACACGATCAGAAGATTCGTTTTGCCCTTGCAATATTGCTCCCTTCTGAAGTACTAGCAATCCAGTGCAATGTACCAATTGCACAATGTGCCAATACATACAACTAGAGCCGACTAATTGAATGTCTAGTGATTGTTCGATTGCCGGCCTCTAAACTCATTCGATCTGACAATCAGCGTGATCCGGATTTTCCTCACTGCTGATGGCCCAATGCCATTCCCAACCTCTACATATAGATGTGCACATGTATTCATTCATGTATTCATTTACACAATACAAACAACAGCAAAATTCAATACATATCCGAGACACGCTAAATCATTTAACAAAGAGTAAAGGTGAAAATTTGTATGCTTAATTTGTGAAAATTCTCATTAAAAAAAGGGCATATTGAATAAGTGAAAATAATATACATGTCTTTAACAATGATATAATGTAAATTGTCAGCTGATCAACGATCACAAATCACAAATCAATGAACGATTACGTGAAAAACTAATCAACTTTGTTTTATCTGAACAGATTTTTATTTTTACACTTTCACGGACCCACAGTTCATATATTGATCTTTGATACGGTCCGTTAGACAGGAAAAATATCATGACTTTTACATAAATTTTAGTAAACGATCAAATAATTTTTTTCAACGATTCATTTTATTTGACTGTAAATCAAAAAAGTGTATCTTTGTTTGTTTTTTTTTTTTTTATTTTATTATCGTTTTATGATATTTTTATATTGACGTGAATGGAATTTTTTACCACATGACTGATTTCATTGGTTGAAATAATTTCTCTTTCCAGTTTTGGTCAGCTTATGTGCCCTGCGGCGCAGCTCAACTTAACGCTGTACAGCTGTCTCTTGAACAGATAGACGTGATACGGAGACTTGCTGAGATGAATGCTCAACATCTTACCCTTGTTACTTCTGTACAAGGTAAGAATTTTTTCTGTCTTTGCCCGACTCATATCTCTACAAAGTTACTGTTAAAGAACAAGAACTGGAGAGTCAGATTTATAGGTTATTTTTATTAACACTTATTACAAAATTAGGAACAAGTTTAAATTAGAGAACACAAAGTCTTTTTGATCACAGTTTCCTTTTAATGAAAGTTACTCAAATAGTTAGAATCGTAGTTAGACACCGTAAACTTAAAGAAGAAGAGGTGCTGGCTCTGTTGATGATGAAAAGACTTCTAGAATGTGTTCAAGGGAGCCTGCAGGTGCACCTTACAAGGTGATGACCAGCCGGGCCTTGGGTACGATGATTTTCTCCGAGGTGTACCACAAGGAAGCTTGCAGGTCACCTAGCAGGGTGAAAAGAAGTACCGAGCCTTGAACACGATGATTTTCTCGTCTAGAAGTCACTAAAGATGATAATTTCTTGATTAGGTTATAAACACGCTGACTCAGATGATTTTCTCACACTCAGAATAACAAGATTTTACTTGTAGACAAGTTCGTTGCAGTGAAAGACTTTTATTTTAGCTTGATTAATATTTAGCCAAAATTAAGAATTTTGATCTAGACTTTTCTTTTACGAGATGTTTCTAGGCGCAGACGCGAGTAAGGCGCAGGCGCGAGCTAAGCGCAGGCGCGAGCTAAGCGAAAGCGCCAGTGTTGTTGTTTAGAGTACTCATAACGATCAATAGGCGGCGCCACATATTTTATTAATTATTCTTTAATAATTTTGAACCAACAATTTTGAATTATATTTTTATTTTATTCTATTTTAAACAGTTACTATCAAGAAATTTCATTTGTTTCAACTTTTCTCATTTTATTTGAAAAATGTCCACGTAAAACAAGTCAAAGAATTTATTTCTCATTAAAAATTAATGCAAAAATTGAGGATAAAATTTTTTAGGATAATTAAAGTGCTTTTCAGTTGAAAGAAAATTTTTTGGAACGTTGATAAAAGGAATGTGTTAAGAGGCTCATTTTATTTCGAGAGGCTAGTTTCGCTTGAGTACCTTGAAAATCGTTAATTAGATCGTTAAATTCTAAAAGAAATTTCAAGTGTTTTATAGCTTAAAAAGATTTTTTAATTAAGTCATCGACTATAGGAAGTTCTATAGTGATAGAGGTTATTGAATTGAAAGAGTATAATTTGAATTGGAAAACAAAAATTTCTTTGTGAAAAACCGCCTTTTAGTGCGAACGTTTCGAGGGAAAAACTTGAGAAATTAAAATAAGAAACATCTGCATACCACGAGGAAGAAACGTTCAAGTAGAATCTGTTTTCACGGAATAAAAAGCATAAAATACGCTTATCTTAATAGGCTTAATAAAATCTTAATAAAATAACGTTATGTAGCACTTGTACGGTATAAAAAGTACATAAATATAAAGATGGTACTTAGATAAAGGAACTTCATGTTATTTTGAGTTCTTTAATTTAGATTATCATAAAAAATCGATTAAAAAAACCATTTAGTAGCCGAGATGGAAAAAGATTCATCAATTTAACTTCTTAGTTTTGTATTTAATCATTTTAATAAATTCAAAATAAAAATTAACATATACTGTAAAAAATGTCAATATAAAAATAGTCTCAGAAGACTGAACAAGACTGCAAAATAAACTAGCTTTTCGTAATCCTTGGACCAATATACGTAAACACCAGGTAAATTTAATTGTTAATAACAATTTAATTGTTTAAGCTGCTATAACTCAGGAAGATCTGATTTTATGGGGAAGTATATTTGAAAAAAAATATTTAAAGTTGAAAAACTATCAATAAATGTTTTTGACAATTTTTCGATAAAATGAATATTTTCGGAGATATCACGAAAAACGATAAGTAGCGGTCGATTCTCTCTGTCGCGCACACGCATCCCACGAACTCTATCGACAGACGACGAGCAAACAGAAAATACAGAGACGAAATAAAATTTAAAACTCGGTGTCCATCGAGAAATGAAGGATGAACGCGATGTGTACCTTGAAAAGACACATAATTGAGTATAGAAAAAATTAATCAGAGCTTATTTACCGCATAGAAACAAAAAAACAGCAAAATCTAAGATTTTTTTGTAATTTTACCGAATTTTGACATTTAAAAATTCATTCCGCGGTGTCTACTCAAAATTAAGCAAAAAAACTAATAGAAATTTATGACACTCCAAACAAGATTTCCAGAAACATCAGCAATCGATCCATCCCATTAAAAATGCATTCCTCGGTATCCACAACTCATGAAAATCATAGGGTATACTCTACAGAAGATTTCCAGATATGTAAACAATCTATCTACCTCATGGAGACGAAAAAACAAACCCCTAACTGGCCTGAAATTTGTAATTGATTATTACGTAAAGTAATTTTCGTTAGTGGTAAGCTTCACGTAAAATTATTCCGTAACTCCCATTCTTGCCCGCTTCACAGCATTATGTCATTTATTAATGACCCTATTCTTACGGAGTGTTCGGACTAATCCGAAGTCTAAAATTTAGCCATATTTTACAGCTAGATCTATCGATTATCGACAAATTTGGAGAGGGTGAAGAAAGGATAAAAAGAAAGACGGGGCCTACTCAGTGGGTATGATTTTCGGTATCTGAAAAAATAATTCGAATGGTAATCAGTAATTTTACTAGCATGATTATCATTATCACCATTAGCCCGGTCACAGCAAACAGCCGCACTTTAACATGTTACGTGATACAGTAGAAATGAATAAAATACACTACAGAGCTATAAATAACTATTATTTGCACTAATAATGAATTTGTACGATCAACAATCAAAGCTAAAAACTAATCAATCTAAAGCTCATGAATCTACCACCAAATCTCCCCTATCTCATTACTTTACAATAAGATCTACATTTTGTTGTTAGTTGAGGCTGTTTAATTGGACCTCATTTAAGTACGAAAATGAGCTATTTGTCCAAATGCTATTTATTGTACAATAGTCTCCTTCGGTACGACCCTCTGCCGTTTATCTCGTCCCTCTCTATTGTCACTACGGCTGACTCACATGCAAATTTCCAGTATTTACATGAGTCCATGATGGCAAACATGTGGGTCACGTCGACTAAGGTCAGTACAGTCGGCTAACCTGACAGTAACTTCCAAATATGTTAACCTAAATTGATGAATTTCTAAAAGCTCTTTATTAAAACTTTTATCCTTAAAAAATTTTTTGCATAGAATTTGATATGATAAGTACTATCCTCGTACTTGTTTTACTTTCAATATTACTTTTATTAATTGTGTAACTCAAGAAAAAATAATCATTCTAATTTTTATTGTTAGGAAAGTTTGAAACATTTTTTTTTTTTTCATTATTTTGTATTTCCTTATAATTGATAAACAAAGCAAGTATCAATTGTTTATAAATAGTATATTCCATGCGTTAGAGCATCCAACTTTTTGGCTATGGATGTATACTATTTTTTTTTATCCCTATCCGAAAATACGGAAACATGAGCGGGAGTGGGGGGGAGGGGGTGCCCACCCGACTTTTGCAGAACCGAGGCAAAGCCGAGGTTTTGCTGGTTGGGCGGGCTTAAAAAAATATATCATAAATAAGATACAATCAATTGCACGATAATTAAATCCTAAAACTAAAAATTGAGAATAAAAAAACATAAATAAATAAACGAAAATAAATTATTAATTGCCAAACATAGTGGAATTTTTATTAAATAGTTTAAATATAATAACGTATATAATCATTAACCCTTTTATAACCACAAAAAGTTTGACAAGCGAATTAATATTGCATAAAGCGTGCTTGTGAATATAGCCATTACACTACCGAGCCAGAAAATACACGTAGCCCACCAGAGCGCGCTATAATTCAAATGAGCCACAAAGTCGTACTTTCTGAAGCGAAGTGCGGCCCAAAAATTCGTATTATCGGGTCGGGGATCAAGAAAAAAATATTTTTAACTGTTACGTCCAATTTTTGGACATAAATTAATTTTGATTTATTTTGGTCCTGGTATTTTTCAACCACTAGATCGGGAACCCAGAAGGATGAAGAAAAACGGTGCGGTTGTCTTTTGTTGATATTCTTATATAATTATTAATTCCAAAATTTAATTTTAACAAAACGTATACTGACAAAACAAAATTAAGTTACAAATTTTATGAATCAAAATTATTGTCGTTTACTATTATGAATTTACAAAATTTACCCAGTGGAGTTGATTCAAATTCAAATTGATTCAAAAAGAATATTCAATTTATTGTTATAAAAAATATTCTATCAATTTTCTGACTAAGTACCGCAGAAAAGTGTAACTTTGCTGATCTGATTATAAACATCATAATGTAATAATTCTCTTGATTAATCAAGTTTAACTTTTAATGAACCATCTTAATAGCCGCGGGGTCTGTATGAATCAGTTAAGACGTTCAATGAGTCACGGAATATTTACTCAGGCATACTCATAAAGTTAGAAAGCTTCCAAAAATAGTCAGAAAACCTTCTTAAGACTTTGTAACAAGGATAACTGCTGAAAACTCAATTTACGGAAATTGGTTGCTATATCAGTACTAATACCTTGGTTGATAAATTAACATATAAATTTAAGAAATGTATTGTTTTTAAATAGTATGTATACCTTTTTTCTATTATTACTTCAAATTGAATTCCATGTAAAGTTCAGAAGAGCCACTTACATTAAAATTTATTAGATTATTTTTTTTACCTGACCAAATGATAGAGTACAGTAGTCAACTATTGAGCTTGAAATTCAAATAAGATAACTATAACTTATAAAATAAAATTTCTAGAAGCTGACTTACTTTGTACTCCTTACTTTATATATAAAAGTCTCATACATAAAATTAGGCTGGTTTTCAACTGAAAAACAGAATTTGAGCTACAATTTGTCTTTAAAAAAAAAACCATTAAGTTCTATAAAAAAAAAAACGAAAATGCGGTCAAATTTTGAAATAACAAAAGAATACCTTAAACTAAGAAAATTTTCAGAGAGACCGAATTTGTATTGGAGCAAGATAAAATTTTCTTGAGGGAAGAAAACTTTACTTTATCGAAGATAATTTTTTATTCTAAATATTTTCTTTAGTCAAGAATATTCATTCAAAACTCATGGATTTTTTCTTTTTGTGTAGGTAGTACACCGATGAAAAATATAATTTGATTCAAGATAATAATGTTGAAGAGTTTTATTATTTTGGTTGAAGCAAAAATATTCTTGATCTGAGAACATGTTTTTGGTTTAAATAAATTCTAATTCTTTCAAGAACTTTTCTGAATTATTGAAAAGTTAGTTCCTAAAGTAAGCTTCCCAAAATTCTATGAGATTTTTGGTAAATGTTCAAGTATTGTATGTAATAAATATACTTAGTATAGGTTACTTCTAATACCTGCTAATCACTGTGATCCAAGACGAGCTCTAAAATGTTCTAAAGGATTAACATAAGATGGTGGTGGATACTAGCTGTAATAGAGATCACACGTAACAGGATAAGATGTTAAATTGAGCTCGCAATAAATACAAGTACATGTAGCAGTCAAGTAATATATATGAATATGTATATACATATAATCTGTTGGGGCACACGTCCAATGCTTCGAGGATCGATTCAAGAAAAAAGCAAATGACTTCTTTAGAAAAAAAAAAAAAACTTTGAAACTCTTTTAAATATTTAATAAAATATAGAAATACCAAAAGTAAAAATAAATTATTAAAATGTTTTATTTAATAAAAAAGGGAATATATTTTCGGAATAATATTTAATTCATGAAATTATTTCAATTTGCGAAACAAGTTTACAAACTATAACTGTATTATCATGATAAACTATTCAATGTACCCGAGAAGAAAAAGTTGTTTAATAAAATATTAATAAAACTGAAAGATTAATTCGGTCTATAGACAAAAGAATAATAATAATAATAATGATACCAACAATTAATTATAAATAGAAAAAAAATTAGCAAGCAGTTTTATGTAAAAGATTACACTGAAAAATTTTAAATGTTTAGAAGTTACTAAAAAGGTACAGCTTTTTGCACCAGCCTCATCTTATCCACTAACTAAAACTACCACCAACAATTTATCCCCCACACAAATATACACATCTTTCTTATATACGCATCAATACATGAAAGAGAATAAAAAGTTTTCGCCCTGTAACAATCTTAAAAACCGAAGAATATGCTACAAAGAACTTGCCTCTTAATAGTGCGCCAACTTTTGAATTTGCTTTTTCTTTCTCACCCAGCACTTTTTATTCCTTAGCCAATACTTTTTCTTCTTTCCTCTGGTATCCTAATTTTTTTCACATGCCTTCTCTTCATCTCTGTCTCATTTTTAACTTTTTTTTTAATGCTGCGTTACACTTTTATTTGCCAATTCAGCAAATACTGAAGAGATAAGAATCTTTTACAAAAGCTGCTTACCCTACATATGTATTAATACTAATGCACTTAAATATACTTTTATTTAGTTATTTATTAGGATTTGTTTCAGGTAAAAAAAAGAGAGTTCAATATTATAATTTCGCTTGGAAATTCGGTAAAAATTTTTCAGACTCTGATTTCCCAAAAATTTGGAATCATTTAAAGTCTTTTAATAGAGACGAAATTTTTTTTTTTTTTAATGAACGAAATCTTCCGAATTTGAATTTCCAATTTTAATCATATAAAATATCAATTATGTCTAATTATCATGCATGATGAAATAAATTTGAGAAAATTTTACTTCAAAAATTCATAACATTTGATTAAGAACAAAAATTATTGTATTTTTTAATCTTGTGGAATAATTAATATAGTCCAGTCGGCCTGGAAATAAAAAGGGGTTTGTTGGCAACTTTTCGACAAAATGGTCCGATTTTGGATTTTTTTTTTAAAATACTCAGAAAAATATTCTAAACATTTGTGTGTATGTCGGAAGTGTTGCTTTTTTTTTGTTTAAAAAATAGCGTTTTAGCGTCGAGCTTTAAATTAAAATATCTCGGAAACTACGCAAAAGTAGTCGAGACATGCTACGTATGAAATTTAGAGAATTTAATAAGGAAAAAAATGAGCTAAGCCCGATGTCTGTACAACCAATAGTTTACGAGATATTAATTTTTTAATTAAAAAAAGTGCAGTTCCGCTCGAGCGTTTATAAACAAATAGTTGTAACTCCGCGAAAAATCGATCGATTTACTTTTTTTTTTTTAAATTAAAGCTTTTGTTGTCTTTTATAAGCAAAAAATTCAGCTAAGCTCAAAAAAATTTTTTTGAAGTTATATGAATAATTTTCATTTTTTTGAATTTTTGCATTAAAAAATAGTTAAAATAAAAATTAAATTATTTTTTTTGCATAAAAATGTTTTTCCGGCAACAAAAAATCGATACGAAAAAAAAAAAATTTTTTTTTTTAATTTTTTTCAATGCAAACATACAACTAATAAGTTTAAAAAAATATGAGCTCTACCGGGATTCGATGTACGGATCCGAGGAAGTGCGCGTGCGCCATTCCCCTTGAGCCGTTGTCGGAGGATGATGGGGGAAATAATAATAATGTGAAGCGAATAATAACAATTAAGTGCCCGCCCAGATTTTTATAATTTTTTTCTAAGTCTTAATTAACTTTTGAAAAATCGATTTCACAATATAGGTATCAATCGATTCAGAATTTCATGAATCGTAAAGATATTCTATCGTGTGGAGAACTTTTTTTATAAAAAATTTTTCTATTTGTTTAAACAAATGGTTAGTTAACAAAAAAAATTTGTTTTCGCAATATTGGTATCATTCGATTGCAAATTTTATGAATCGGAAAGATATCCAATCGAGACGGGAACTTTTTTTTTTTATTTTTTCTATTTGTTTAAACAATTAATTAATTAACAAAAAAAAATTTGTTTTCACAATATTGGTATCAGTCGATTGCAAATATTATGAATCGCAAAGATATAAAATCGTGACGGAAACTTTTTTTATAAAAAATTTTTCTTTGTTTAAACAAATAGTTAGTTAACAAAAAAAAATTGTTTCCACAATATTGGTATCAATCAATTCAGAATTTTATGAATCGTCCAGAAAACCTATCGAAAAATGATCGATTTCTTATATATTAACAATTTTTTTTTGTTTATAAACAAATAAGTTTATTAACTTTTAAAAATTCGATTATAAAATATAGTTACCTACCGATTCCAAATGTGATGAATTAACCAAAATAATTATCGTCAAAGGATGTAATTTAAAAATAAGTCTATTAGTTTTTTTTTTCTCTTATATCAATTCTTACAAGTAACAAATGGATTATTATACTTAATGTTGAACTACCAAAGATCATAAGGATTAGAAATTAGGAATAGCAAAGGGTTTTTTTTACAAATTATTCATCTTTTTATTCGATTGCATACATTGCGTTTATTTAAAAAATTACATTCAGCTGTTTCATAAAAAATTGGGGTGCACATAGAATTTTTTGTTTTACATCCATGATGGTCCAGGAGTCGCTTCATCTGTATGTTGCTCTTCTTGATAATCTTGGTGTTCATCTACGCTTACAGGTAATGATATTTCATCATACGTGTCATCATAACCCGTTAGTTGCCAATCTTGCAGGATTTGCGGTTTATTTACACATGAATCATTGCATTCTTTACATAGATCCGAGCACATGAGGCCTGATTTTCGACACGAACATGTTTTCGATTTGCAACCTTTTTTACACGAACAGACTATCAAATTAAGTAATTCTTCTGGTACTGGTGTTAAAGTTGTTGCAATCGGTACAACTAACGTTTGATGGGCAATAATCCAGCCCCATAGCAAAGAGGGCATTATGTTATTTTGCCAACGTTGTACTAACCAATAAGCTCGATATATATGGTGACTTGCAGCTGCTGATGTTGGAGGTAACGATGCTAAATTAAAGCTTGTTTTTCGACGATTTTTCAAGTTGCTTGAATATTTTTGACATCGAACGTCATTCAAATTCTTTCCTTGTACATTGTAGAACCGCATTATCAGTTGTTCTCCTCTCTCGATTAAGTGTGGAATGTTATTTGCTGAATGTGGAGAATCAAAAACTCGTAACAATTCACGGACTTCTTCTTGATTTTTCAATAAATGTTTCATGACGATTTTTTTTGACACGTTAAAAAAACAAGATGTCACATCGGTGCCGGTTAATGCTCGAATAACATGCAAATATGGCGACAACATTTGAAATTGTTGCTGATTTTTCTCCGTATCGTACCATGCTTTACCAGGAATGTTGAAGAACATATTTTGTGGTTTGTGGACAAAAGCAACCAGTAAACATAATATGTCGACATTATGACTAACAATTACGGGGGGACGATTCTCGCGCCATTGAATCATCGCTTCATTAGCAATGACGTGGTTAAAATCTTCATGCGGCTGAGTTAATTTCACCAAAATTCCATAACTACGCAATACATCCGCTAGTTGTACAATGAATCGACATTTATTTTTATGATTCTGAAACAAAATGTCGCGTTTTTTTGTTGTGAATTTAGTTTCATCGAAGTAAACTTCTGTCGCGACTGATGTTGCAGATGTTGTTATCAATTTCGCTGATACTTTAATTGAATTAAAATCATCCGTCATCGAATCAAATACGATCATACACTGATTACCATAATTATTTTTCAGATAATTTACATACTGTTCGTATACACTCATATACGTGCTATTTGTTGTCCAAGATACTTGTGTCAAAAGTGTTTCACCATCAACAATCGCGAATGTTCCGATATTGGGTTTATCAGTTTTTGTAAACAGAGTAAAGAAATCATCTTTTGATGCTCGAATGCTGTTGGGAGTATCAAATATCGATAAAGGATATGGGCATAATTCATATTCAAAATACTTTGGATAATATTTGGGATCTGGATCGGATTTTTCAAATCTGGTAAACAAAATTTTTTCATCTATTGGAAATTTACTTTGCCCAATTATTATGGATCCATTAGACACGGATAATGGTATTATTTGTGATTCCTGGCTGAATTTAACAGAACCAAAAAATTGTTCGATCACCGCAACATTTCCGTCTGGCCCAGTTGAAAAAGTTGGAATAAGTTTTTTGTACGACTGTAGACCAAAATATTCGGCATTGTAACAGTTCACGTCTGATCCACCAGTTACTCCTGTTGATAAAGATACTATTTGATTGCTTGTAATGAATGGACAATGTTCTTCAAACCATTTTCGCATTATTCTTAAATCATAAAGATCTCTCAACACTGTTGACTCACGTAAATCTTTGTGTTGCTCACTAGAAGTACTTTCAATTTGGCAGAATTCTTCTAAGTCATCATTGATGTAAGCTGAACAACTTAGAGTATTAAGCCAAGATGCAGCAACACTTTCTGTTATTCTTCGACCATGCACTAAACCTCCGATACTATGAATCGATCGCATCAGTGTTTGTTCAACGATCATATCCGAACTAACACCACTGAAAAACTTATCACTTCTGCGTATAGTAAAATAGCCGTCAGTAACGTAACGCTTAAATTCTTCGGACGAGTCCATTTTCTTCTCTAATTCTAGATGATCCTGCACGTACAAGTGAGCACTTTTAGCATACTTAAAATGATTGCAGCTATGGAAAAACGGAAGCATTTCAATAATAGTTGACAAATGAAGATCAAAATCGCCACACCTTTCAGCTTGTATGAAGCTTCTGAATAGCGACACCATTTTGATGTATTGAATCCAAAGCATCGCAGTCTTACCTCTTTCTGCAATTGTGTTCATCGTTATTTTTATTTTGTTCAAAAACTTTTGTACTGTAGAATTAGCTTCGAGTTTTTCAAGAACGGTCTTTTCATCCAAATTTCTTTTAAATTCATTTTCTTGAGGCTCGATAGACAGAAGATCAATCAAATTTTTTTTCTCATCATCAGTTAATTTACATTCATCTAAAACTATTAGCATAAGAGCTGCTTGTGTGTAATAATGAGCACGAACAGCACGAGCATAATTTTCACCAGTCATCATTTTTTCAGTCGACTTTTCAGCATAGATCAAACTCCAAACTTCTTTAAGTCCACTACCATCCATTATTTTGCCTATGCAACTAAGAAAGGACATGATGAGGTGAAAGCCACCTAATCTTATGAATACATGATCCATATTTTCGGTACAAGGAACAACTTTTGATTGAATGTCTGCCAAAATTTCCCGTGCTTTTATATAAAGTTGCTGATCAAAAGTGAAAAAAACATTCTTTTGACCGATTTTTTTGCTTTCTTTCAAACCAAACATCATTGCTGAGAAAATTGCGGATTCATCAGTTGCTTTTAAATAGATGAACGGTAAGTACTTAATTTTGCTGACAGAATACAAAGTCGAATTGGTCCGAAGTTCCATGAAGCCGTTCCAGCCGGGATGTTCTGGTATTCTGAGTGAATGACCTGTTACCCACAATAATTCTCCAGGTAATAAAATAGTTTTTTCAGTTCGCAAAGATCGCAACGCACGTACATCCTTTATTTCAAGCTTACTCAATCCTCTAACTTCAGGAACTGTATAATCGTATATTTTAACTTTATACTTATTTGCAATGTCTGAAGCTTGCGGCGCAGGGTTTAAACGTTTAATACCTAAGCTTATTTCGGTTGAACTAGCAGGAGTTATGCATTCGACTCCTCCTGTGTAATGGAATGTATTTTTTCCATCAATTGTACGAATATCGTAATCAGCACTATCGAATACATACTGGACAAAACTCTCATGAGATGCCCGGATAATTGGTGTAGATGACATCACTGCTGATCCTTCGTATAACAATGTTTCATCATATGATGCACACATTCCCAACCGATTAAGCATGTTTATTAATAATTTGGATTGATATTTAGAATGAATATAAATTGAAAGTGCTAGTTGTAAAGAAGAAATAAAAGATATAGGTCTTACAGCAGCAATTATTGAGTGACTAATGGCAGTGATTTTTTTTTTATATGATTCTACATTTTTTTTTTGAGGTAAAATAATGTCTGATAAAAATGATGTCAAGCTTTCAGGTACAACATCATTAATATTATCATTACCAAAAAAGCCATTAGATGGAGGATAATACTCGGTCTCCATACCCATTCCACGTATGTCTTCTCGTATATATCTTGCCGCTAATTTTAAAATGTTCGATTTCTTTTCCTTTTCGTTTTCAGCTGAAATGTTATTTCTGAAGTAATCCAAAATTAAATCCTCCGCAAAACCTTTCAAAGTGACAATAGTTCTATTCCTACCATTAGAACTGAAAATGATTTTGTCTTCATACCTCTCACTCAATACATTTTTAACATACTTTCGGTTTGGAGCTGGTTCACCCAAAACATTGATGATTTCATCTAAAGTCCATTGAGGTTCTTCGGAATTTTCCAAAAACGTAAATAATTTTTCGAACTGTTTGTCATATTGAGTATTTCTAATATTTACAGATGATTTTACTGAAACAAGCTTGCTCAAAAAGTTAACATCACAATTATTATGATACGTAGCACCCACAGAAAATAAATTATCAACATCATTCAAACGTTTAACAACTGCATTAACTGATTCATTTGTACACTTTTTACATTGTTCCAGTATTCTATTTTTAAATGTAGAGTTTTCCATAATAATATGAATCTTGCGACGATGTTTTTTCGGTTTTTTATTTTCTAACTTTTCACTGCACGGTAATGCACAAATTACGCAACAGTTCTTATAATCAAAATCAGTTGAGAGTTCATTTATTGTAGGTTCAGTAGATAATTTACGTTTTTTGGTTACTGCTACTCGTTCTTTGCTAATGTATGATACACGGCACTCTTCGTGAATGATTAATTTATTTTCATTTTTCCAAATAACATGTTTACCATCACCACGTTCCAAACTGCACGAAATAAAATTCTCCATACCACGTGGACCAACGGTTGTTTTTATATCACCATCTTCAAATTTGCTGTTGCAAATGCAACAAATACAAATATCAGAAGACATTTCAAAGTACAAGATTATAGGTTATAATAATGTGAATAAATAAGCACAAAATTAGCAATAACAAACGCAGAAAAATTATGAACGCTTCTATAGCAATAGGCATACAGATACTGAATTTCACAATGACGAATGACTATAGCATAACGCACAGGCAGCTGTTTCAACGATCACGTGACATTAAATCACGTGACAACGAATCACGTGGCTATGACCCAAGAACAGGTACAAAAAGAAACAACAATGTTATACTAAGAATATGAAATAACGAACGTAAGTTGAAATTACGGATTTAAAAAAATATAATTGTTAGATAATAAAAAATTGTTTAAATAAGTTTAAAATTAATGAATTTCCAAATGAATAAATGTTTTAAAAAAAAAAGAATGAATATGTTTGTATAACTTCAATAACTCATCTGTAAGTTTAAAAAAGTAAAATCATGAAAAAATACATTTATTTAGAATCAAATTAGTTAACTTTTTTTAAATAGGTCTTTAAAAAGAAAATTATTTGGTCGATTCATAAAATTTGGAATCAATTGATACGTTTGTTCTCGAATCAATTTTTAGAAGTTAATTAACTCGTTTGTTTATGAAAAAAAAAATAATTTATTTGTTAACTGATAATTTGTTTAAACAAATAAAAAAAATTTTTCAATTAAAAGTTTTCCACACGATAGGATATCTTTCCGATTCATAAAATTTTGAATCGATTGATACCAATATTGGAAAAACAAATTTTTTTTTGTTAACTAACCATTTCTTTAAACAAAGAAAAATTTTTTATAAAAAAAGTTCCCGTCACGATTGGATATCTTTCCGATTCATAAAATTTGCAATCGATTGATACCAATATTGTGGAAACAATTTTTTTTTGTTAACTAACTATGTGTTTAAACAAAGAAAAATTTTTTATAAAAAAAGTTCCCGTCACGATTGGATATCTTTCCAATTCATAAAATTTGCAATCGAATGATACCAATATTGCAAAAACAAATTTTTTTTGTTAACTAACCATTTGTTTAAACAAATAGAAAAATTTTTTATAAAAAAAGTTCCCGTCACGATTGGATATCTTTCCAATTCATAAAATTTGCAATCGAATGATACCAATATTGCAAAAACAAATTTTTTTTGTTAACTAACCATTTGTTTAAACAAATAGAAAAATTTTTTATAAAAAAAGTTCCCGTCACGATTGGATATCTTTCCAATTCATAAAATTTGCAATCGAATGATACCAATATTGCAAAAACAAATTTTTTTTGTTAACTAACCATTTGTTTAAACAAATAGAAAAATTTTTTATAAAAAAAGTTCCCGTCACGATTGGATATCTTTCCAATTCATAAAATTTGCAATCGAATGATACCAATATTGCAAAAACAAATTTTTTTTGTTAACTAACCATTTGTTTAAGCAAAGAAAAATTTTTTATAAAAAAAGTTCTCCACACGATAGAATATCTTTACGATTCATGAAATTCTGAATCGATTGATACCAATATTGGAAAAACAAATTTTTTTTTATTAATTAATTAATTGTTTAAACAAATAGAAAAAATAAAAAAAAAAAAGTTCCCGTCATGATTGGATATCTTTCCGATTCATAAAATTTGCAATCGAATGATACCAATATTGCGAAAACAAATTTTTTTTTGTTAATTTATTAATTGTTTAGTTTAAACAAATAGAAAAAAAAAAAAAGTTCCCGTCACGATTAGATATCTTTCCGATTCATAAAATTTGCAATCGAATGATACCAATATTGCGAAAACGAATTTTTTTGTTAACTAACCATTTGTTTAAACAAATAGAAAAATTTTTTATAAAAAAAGTTCTCCACACGATAGAATATCTTTACGATTCATGAAATTCTGAATCGATTGATACCTATATTGTGAAATCGATTTTTCAAAAGTTAATTAAGACTTAGAAAAAAATTATAAAAATCTGGGCGGGCACTTAATTGTTATTATTCGCTTCACATTATTATTATTTCCCCCATCATCCTCCGACAACGGCTCAAGGGGAATGGCGCACGCGCACTTCCTCGGATCCGTACATCGAATCCCGGTAGAGCTCATATTTTTTTAAACTTATTAGCTGTATATTTGCATTGAAAAAAATTAAAAAAAAATTTTTTTTTTTTTCGTATCGATTTTTTGTTGCCGGAAAAACATTTTTATGTAAAAAAAAATAATTTAATTTTTATTTTAACTATTTTTTAATGCAAAAATTCAAAAAAATGAAAATTATTCTTATAAATTCAAAAAAATTTTTTTGAGCTTAGCTGAATTTTTTGCTTATAAAAGACAACAAAAACTTTAATTTAAAAAAAAAAAAAAGTAAATCGATCGATTTTTCGCGGAGTTACAGCTATTTGTTTATAAGCGCTCGAGCGGAACCGCGCTTTTTTTAATTAAAAAATTAATATCTCGTAAACTATTGGTCGTACAGACATCAGGCTTAGCTCATTTTTTTCCTTATTAAATTCTCTAAATTTCATACGCAGCATGTCTCGACTACTTTTGCGTAGTTTCCGAGATATTTTAATTTAAAGCTCGACGCTAAAACACTATTTTTTAAACAAAAAAAAAGTAACACTTCCGACATACACACAAATGTTTAGAATGTTTTTCTGAGTATTTAAAAAAAAAAAATCCAAAATCGGACCATTTTGTCGAAAAGTTGCCAACAAACCCCTTTTTATTTCCAGGTCGACTGGACTAATAATAAGGTTTTTTTGAGTAAACTGACGCCTCTCGTTCTAATTTACATAATAGAATGATAGAATACCGCGATGATCGTGTAACTAATTATTAATTATATACTATACAGTCTTGTATTACTTTCTCTCTCTCTCTCTCTCTCTCTCTCTCTGAGCCGTGGCATCTCCTTCATCCAAGTTCTGAGTAACATAAACGTAATATTCCAATTAATGCGTACGCATACGCATGGATATATATATACACAAATAAGTAATTGGAATAGATGAATGAGAGATTATTAAGTGACACAAAGCAACTTGAAATGTATATACCAACTCGGGAGAGTGTGTAATGGATATACCTACGAATACACGCGGTAATGTTTCATAGTTCAGAGAACATGTGCATCTGCAATGCGGATAATATTCTGATATACCATTTCAACTTGATATGATGCATACCTATTTGTATAAATATGAATTTATACTAATTAATTTTATTCACGTTTAAAAATAATATAAATAAAATATAATATCGAGTCTGCTCGTATTCCCGAAAAAATTCATCTATTAAAAGAGTGGCTTCTATCAAGTGCATGAGAATTTAATATTTGATGAATATTATATTTCTTAATTTATTGCAACGTCATTTTTAAATTAAATTTTTTTTAACAAAAAATAATTGACTTTACTTTGATATACTGGAAGAGTTTACTTGAATTTATATCATCAAATAAGCTAGTTTAAGTACGTTAATTTATTAATCAAGCTTTTATGATATATTTGAAATTCATATTTATGATTGTATGGTGGAGGTATGATTAATTATTACTTGACCCAATTCTCGGTTGGGTCAAACGTTATCTAGAGCTATATTTTGTGGCGCATTGTCGTGATTCCCGGAGAAATCTAGGGCATGCCACTCGTCTGACTTTTTCCGATTTTTTCGTAGCCCTGGTGACTGTTTGTCGCATTTTAAACTTTAAGAAAAATCTAGATCAGAGTAACCCATGTTATTTTTTGTACTATCTGGCGACTTTTACCCATAAGTTCAGTCAAGCTTTAAAACTGTTTATTTTTTTGCAATAAAAAACAACAGACAGTAAATACAGTGTCGCTGGGATAATTGGTATCGATTAATTAATCACAATAATTATTGATTTTTTAATTCGACTAAATTAAAAAACTTTTATCTATACAAACAAATAAACTTTGGATAAACATACTGATTCCGATTAAATAGCAACTGCACTGATAGAAGGATTTTTTTGTATTTAAAAAGATTTGTTAATATTTAATAATAAATGATTTACTAGAGGATATTAGGTCCTTAACAAATATTTATTTACAGTTAATAAATCATTTATCAGCAGCTATTTATTTGTACTAACCAAATATTTATTGCTATTTAATAAACGATTTATTAACATATAAAAAATGATTTATTAACATCTATAAAATGATTTATTAATATTTACACACTGGATTATTAATATTTAAAAAATTCCTCAAAAACGTGTTTCAATGTTTTATTTCAATTGTAAAAATGACAAAGAATTAGATATTTAATGAAATAAATGAAAAATGAAATTAAAGGATACAAATAATAAAAACAGAAATTACAATTAGAAGTTTACAAGAGAAGTATTAGAGAAGTTTACAATTAATTTTTTTATTGCAACCATACATTTAAAATTAAAGTAACTACAGCAAAATAATCGATTATTGATAAAAATTTTTTTAATTAATTGAAAACTTTTCAAGATTAGTATATTTTACAACTTGACCAAATTTTACAACATGTTTAAATCCTTCTGCTTTGATAAATTTTTCACATAAATCAAGTTGCAATTTGTTCGCTAGAGTAAATAAAATATTTACAACTACGCGTTAAGTACAGCCATCTACCAACACTGACGACCAACAAAATATTTGTTAACTATTAACAAATCTTATTTGGTGGAAATAAATACTTTTTTCAATACATTAAAGCTTCTTAATAGTTACAAAAATTTTGTTCTCATAAAAAATAGATTTAGTTAATATTAACGAATATTGTTAATAGTAAAAAAATATTTTTTCCAACCAAAAAAATATCTGAAAAAGATTTTAATAAACTGATTTATTAAATACAAACAAATCCTTCTATCAGTGTGAAATCGCGAACACATGTGTCTATCATTCAATAAAATAGTTAGCGAAGACTATCAAATTCATCTAGTTCTGCCCAAGCCACAGAATGTCGCCTCAACAAACGTCAAATATTTAATATTGTTTTATTATTTTGACTCCGCTATCTTTCGGCTCTATGAAAGTCTCTCGGAACTTTTATTTCACTAATCGTTACTCTACTTCGTTTATTGGCAACATAATCTTTATCAATGCAAACTTCCAAACGACCGCTATTTAAAAAATAAACGAAACAGTTATTTTCAAGATCTTTGACATGATTTTCATTAAATCGGACAAACATCGACTTAACTGTCAATAATTAAATCTGTGACCTCTTTAAAGTATTTTCATCTTCTGCAATTCGATACCAATTATTTATCATGAAAAAAATAAAAATAAGTCATTGCATCGTTCTATCTATGAATATTTCAATTAACTTTTATTATATTTACTCGGAGCAACTAAAAAAATCAAAAATACTGCACCTAAAAAAAGAAATACGAACCTCTAAAAATGGAATTGATATTTCAGGTCTCCTGGACGCTCACCGGGAAGGTAAAATCGCAAGTCTGATCGGCGTGGAGGGTGGTCACTCCCTCGGCAACTCACTGGGCGTCCTAAGGACATTTTATGGTCTGGGAGCGCGATATCTAACACTCACACATGCGTGCGACACGTCCTGGTAAGTATTGCAAATCCCCGAGGATATCATTTTCTCCATTAAAAATCTTTTCATTTCCCATAAAAAAGAATATAAATCACTAGAGACTACATTATACTCAGTACATTATTCATCCCCTGATCTATACCGAATTCGGTTTAATCCTTCCATTAACATCATACACCAAAAGTCCATACTATACACCACTCATCTCCACTCCTCAAATCCTCTCTATAACAATAAAGCTAATGAATAAAAATAAATAACTAATAATACCAACAAATAACCAAAAAAAAATCAATTTTTCACCTAGAAACACTGCGACTGAAAAAACAAAGTTTCTTCAAAAGTCGAGTGATTACATATCCCCAATTCCCAGGAGAATTTTATCACTACACCCAAGATAGTATTGCACTATAGATATATTTATAAATAAATAGATCTATAGTGGGCAAGTGAAAAGTTGGCTGGGATTCGTGCGTTAGAAAAATGACTTTCTGGAGTAGAGAGTTGAGAGTAGAGTGTAGAGCCGACGCCTGAGTAAACTCTTGCTGTACTCCTATTTCTTTTGTCTCTCCTACAAACTTGTATTGTATCCTTTTCCAATGTCCTCTTATTCTTTATCTTAATCTTATTTTGACGTTGTTTTTTTTTTATTTTCACCCTCTTATATGTATCTGTATATATCCTTCGAGTTTTTATTCTTGGTATTCTCCTGCCGCTGGTTCTTCATTTTCTCTAACAGGAAAAAGTATTGCCCTCTGTTTGTAATGCGGTAGCTTTCTGCTTTCTATGGTAACCTGTCCAACTATTCTACTTGTACTTTTGCACTTGCTTTGCCCTAACTTTACTTGTCTCTCTCTCTCTCACTCGCTCCCGTAGACTCCAGACTGCAAACTGTAGACGTATAAAATAGTTGGTTGGAAAAAGGGACAAGTTTTCAATCCTTGCACGGCCTCTACTCGCTTTTACGCTTCCCCTGACGTTTCAGTCGACGTAACACGGGAATCATAAATAAAGAGCTGGAGCACTGTTGGTGCACATGCCTGACGTAAAATCACCTAACCACTCTAGGTAAATCGTAAATTCCCATTTCACGAGCTTCTGGATCGTTCAGTACCTACCACACACGTCTTGGATCATTTAATCTGTTTGTTACCCTTCATAGTGCTACTTTTCACAGCTTGTTCCTTGTGAATACTCATAACACTTAAGTAGAACCATTAAAACCCATCCTATTATTATCATTATCATTCTCATGATTTTCATTATTTATCATTATCGTTGTTGTTATTACTATTTATTTCTTCATACGTTGCATAAAAAAATTTCATTTCATTTTTTCTCGAATTGTATAAAACTTATGGCTCAGGACAAAATGGACCACCTGAGGATTTTATTGGTTTTTAGAAGCCAATGAAACTTATATTAAATTTTTTCATGTATATCGTACTTTACTTTCGTCATTTATTTGATAGATGAAAAATATAAAAATATTTTGTGATAAATAAACTACGACCTGAAAATATAATAGAAAAATGTCATTGGATATATGAAAAATATTTATCGAAAACTATAATTTCAATTTTAGTCAAAGGTTTTCTGCTCTAGAAACAAAATATCCTTCGGAAGACGGCAAGTTACAATCATAATGGTTTTATAACGAATAACAAATATTTACCTTGCCGACTATTGAAGATTTTCTTATAATTTTAAAATAAAATTAAATTCTTCGCCGAATTAATAGAAACTTGATTGAATATTTAGCAGTTTTTTTTAACATAAAATTAGATTTTACTACATATTTTTAATCTGAGATTTATTTTTTACGGTTACCAAAAAAAATTTAATAATGAGAGTTTGAAGGATTCTTAAAAGTTTCAGAGACGTTTTGCTAGAGCCATCTTGCCGTCAACATAAAAAACTTTTAATTCAAGTCTTTAGGTTTTTTTATCCTTACTAATATTCTAAAATTTGATCCGCTTGTTAAATCAACAAAACCTTCTGTTTAAATTTTTAACTCAAGGTTTATTTTGCCCAGATCTCTTTCACTGTTAAAAAAAAAGAATTGTCAGTAGTAATATTGCTAAATGTATATGCTGTTACTATTATAATAAAGAAAATTAAGATATTGACATAAAGTATTATAAAATATCTAAATGTAATTACTGCAGAATTATTTGATAGATAAATTGTATTTAATTGGAAAAAATAAATAAATGTAATTCTATTGTTTGTGATAAAATTAAAAAAAAAAAATATCATTGTAAAAAATTAAGATAAATTCGTAAATACTAAAAAAATTATAAAATGCATATGTTCTATTAAATAATAAAAAGCAAATCCCTCACTGTCGTACTAATAATGTAACTTATCCCTCATGAAAACAAAGATCAATAAAAGTCTCGAAAGATGTTTTTTACCGGACCGGATAAATTTTTCTGAGCACACTTTTATATCACAATAATATTATTAGAGCTGTCGGCAACTACGTAATCCCCATACTTTGACAAAAGAAATAATAACTGTAAGAGGACATGTAATTCTTGAGATAATGTTATAAAAACGTAATGCAATATCACGAAAAAAAAAAACAAAAACAAACGCACACACACACACACACACGCATAATAAAAAATAAGAAAAAGTATGTACGTATGTATCATTGGACAAATTTTCACATTGAGATCCTTTTTTCCAGCATGTGTGATACATACGGTTGCTATTTTATAACTCCATTTTGTTGTTATTTTTTAAAATTTTATTTTCTGACTCAAACGTTGCAGCTTTTTTGCGCGGTTTACGTGTTGCTCAGCTTGTTCTGAGGCAATTACTTGTCCAGTAGCAAGTCCAAGCAAGCTTTACAACCCCCTTTGAACTTTACACGTCTCTCTGGACTAGACGATCGTGCGAGTAGCCGCCGTGCAGCTGCGTAAATAAAGTGTCAAGACCTTTTTGTTTTCTTTTATTTCTCTCTCTTTCTTTCCATATATATCCGAGTACCACGTATGTACTTATATATTTTTTGAACTTCACTAACTCTTTTGTAGCCTTTCGTTCAATTTTCTCTTTCGCAGAGTACTTTTTTCGAATACGTGCATATGTTTCGAAGAACATAACCAACTCGTGAATATCGACTCACGTAACACATAAATTTATCGAGAATCAAGTCGCAAATTATTGCGCCTCGTTCCTTTAGTTCTTTATATTAAATAAATTTGTAAAAAACGAAAGGTGAACCAGCAGGAGTTTGGTTTGTTTTTTTTTCTTATTTTTCCATTACACTGAAACGACATTTATGAGTTTCTAGTTTAATATAATAAAATAAACCATTCGTTTCTTTTATTCTTTTATCTATATTCATTTTTTATTTCATTTAAGTTTTTTTTTCTTGCTGCTTTACTTTATGTTTTTTATTCCTATTCTATAAAATTCTATCTCGCTTGTCTTCTTGTTCCTTTTATCCCGTCCGTTATCTTTCATTACATCAATAGCATCAAAAAGAAGAAATAATAAAAATATAAAGGCACAAACTGAGATAAAAAAAAACAATTAATAATAATAATAATATATTTTTTTATTTATTTTTGTATGAATGAATTAATAAAAAGAAATATTTCTAATAAAACCGTTATTTTTATTTCTCGGCAGGGCAGTTTGTTCTGTTGGCGAAGCCAATGGTACGCAAGACAACGTTCCAGGTCTCAGTGATTTTGGCAAGGTATTTTCATTTATTTAATTATATTGCTTTTTTTCGCTTTTTACTATTTTATGGTGAATTATACAAGTGTACAGTTAAAATGGAGGTACTTCAAGATGAGTCTCTTCTCCAGTCAATGAAACGAAAAATAAAATGTATTCCGTGCATAAAAGTACTGAAAAAATTTATATTTACGTTTGAAAAAATCGTACCATCAGTTTTTTAACTGTGATTAGTTTAATTAACGAATAGTTCTTTTAAAATTTTATGCTTGCATTTTTCTACATTCTTTCAAAGTTTTATGCCCAGAAATTTTCTTTTGGTTCAAATAAATTTCACTTTTTCAAAAATTTTTCTGCTGAATTCAAGTTAATTTTTTCATCAGTGTAATACTTCTATTACGCTTATTTCGAAGCATAAACGGATTCAGAATCGAATCGTATAAATTTTCGATCGATATCTGTAAATATAAAATTCTAACATAACTTTTGATTATTCAGACTATCGAAAACTTTTAATTTCAGATTTAAAATGTGAACAATATGTCATAAACTTTTTGTTAAATTTTAATAGCCCTAAATTAATATACCAGCTTATTTGAACTAAGTTACCCTGATGAAACCCGAGTGCTCAATTATTAAACTTTAATGATAAATAATTATTTTAAATCAGAACGCGATTATTTTGTTTATTAAATTTGATTGTGTTTACTCTCAAAAGTTTTTTAAATTCCATTCAATTAGATTGCTAAGTTTTAGTTGAAGATAAAAGTTGAAAGTAAACATTTTTTTTGCATGCCTTAAGCGCGAAGCGTACAAGTATGCTCTACTCTCGCCTACAAATCGTGATTTCGATTCAAACGTGATTTTGATAATTTAAACAAAAAAAATTATGTATAAAAAGCATATTGAGATTAATACTAATAACTACAGAACACGTTAAAGAAATTTTCTTATTGATTAAATAAGATTTCTCCGGAAAAACTCGTTTTTCTGACTAATTAAGTGAATATGAGCGTGGTATTCACAGGAGCACTGGGCTTGATAACACCACAACTTTGTCAAAAATCACTTTCATGATTTAATTTTTTTTTTGTTTTATTCCTTAGGGAGTTTCCCAAAACCCTTGTGAAAATTGCGTGTCAAAATAATTTCGTTTCAATACAGTTAATTTTTTTCGACTGTCAGTTCGGTGACTTTTTCTGCGATTTTGGCAGCCATATATATTATTTTTCATAAAATAGGATTGATCAATTCTTGATCAATTATTTCGAAATAACTAAACAAGTAGAAACTATACATACATGATAGTATAATTACTAACTGTTTTATCATCTGTTAACATTTTTTTTAGCTCTCGGCCTAAAGAGGAGATAACATTACTCGCAGGAAAATTCAAACAAAAAAACGAATCAAAAAAGTATATAAGTCTTTATGGAAAAGTTAACAAATCGCAATCTAAATAATTTGTGTATCATATGAGCGCTTAAGGCATGCTCATTTGGATTTTCCAAACTTTTTTAATTAAACTCTAACAATATTAAAAATCACATAACTATAAATAAGTTTAACAAAGTGAAATTGGATCAAAACATACACAGTAAAAAATTTTTCGTCAAATTAAACACAAAAATTTGTGTTGATGACTTTTTTTACACAATTTGTGTTGAATCAATATACTAAAATGTTAAATTCTACACAAACATTTTTCTGCCCTCCGGCCGGAAAGTGGCAACTTTCTGGCCGCTGCGCTAAACAAAGTTGCCACATTCCGGCTACGTCGAGCAGAAAAATAGTATACACACCTTGGCCAGTAAAAAGTAAAGCCTCAGATCACATGTTTGTCAACCTCGGCTTCACCTCGGCCAACAATTACATGTGATCTGAGACTTTTCTTATTCTACTGGCCTAGGTATGTAATATACTATTTACACTTTACACAATGACGAAATAGTATATTACGACCCGAGGCCAGAAAGTTGGATTTCCTGGCGTATGTGATATGATGGCCGAGGCGTAGCCGAGGCTATCATATCACATACGTCAGGGCATCCAACATTCTGGTCATGGGATGTATACTATTTTTCTTGCTCTCCAGCCAAAAGTACGCAACCCCGGGGAAGGGGTTTTGCCGGGGGCGAGGGGGGCGCAAAAATTTTATATTTTATTTTCTAAAACTTTTATATAAATTATTTGTGCAGTATTATATTATTAAATAGTTCATTAACAATAATCTAGTAAGAAATTATTTTTATTTATTTGACACTTTTTGGTTAGTTTATGTGTTGACATGTTACATACAGACGATGTTGTGACTGTTATATACAGTCGAAACTCGCTGTATAGGCCGGTCGCACCACGAAAGTACGAAAGAAAGCGAGGCTCTGTGCTGCCGGCCAGAAAATATGCGTAGCGCGCATGCGTAGAGAGCCGGCCATAAATGTTGCTCTTCCTGGAGTAAAGTGCGTCCAGGATGAGCGTACTTTCGGCTAGGAGAGCAAGAAAAATTTTTTACTGTGTATTTTTAAATAAAAAATTACATATATTTATTTTATAATTTATGTTTTGGAATTAAAGAAAAATAAATATTTCCCATGATATTAATTCAAGTAGATTTTTTCGAATTAAAAAAAAAATTCTTTTTAATACAAGATTAAATTACAAGATAATATTCTTGAGTCGTTCTGTACCGTCATAAAATGCAGAAAGTATTACTATCGAAGCTTCTTTGATGTCGATCTCCAGCAAGCTAAAATAATTTTTTCAAAGTAAAGGTTTACCCAAGAGAGATGTCTTTATAGAATTTTCCACTTTTCTTACATCTAAATTAATATTCAAGTTTTATAACCATTATAATTTGTATTAGAGTTACTGGCATGTAAAAAGATTTATAAGATCACGCACCACCAATTCGAACTTTTTAATTTCCAATATAATTAGCTTAATTTACAAGCGCAGTTTAATTTTATCTTAAAAAGGAATATTATTATAATTATTTCATTTCATTCAGGAATAAAAAATAAATTTAAATTTACATCTTCATTTCCTCAGTTACGGGTTGATTTTAAATTGAATTTTTATTTTTTATTACACCAGATCGACTGTACTATTGAGTTTAATGGTTAAATTGTATCGAGAAATGTGCGAGGAATAGTAATTGGCAGAAAAAAAAGAAGAATAAAAAGAAACTGGTAGAACGAGACAAGTACATTTCATAAGAATGCAGATGGTTATCCATAAGAATTTAATAGTACGCGAATCGAATTCAAAGGCAAAAAATATTTCCCAATTAACACCTGCGACTGCAGAAAATACTTTTACTAAATAAATAAAAGATAACATTGTGTTACAAAAATTTTGACTGATATAATTCAATAAAAAACTAAAATAAATAAATAAAAAAATAAAAAATAACTCAACATTCATTGATAGCAATAAATATCGATGAGTTTACAATAAAAAAAAATAAAATATTTACTGTTACATTTTATTTGGTAGATTCAGTAGATTTTATTTTTACTATACAAACATAACATGTTAGACAGACAGAGATGTTTAGTACACCTGTAAAGATATTTAACACAGTTTAATGTATTTTTGTATCGACAACCCAGGCAGTCGTGAGAGAATTGAACAGACTTGGTATGCTGGTGGATCTCTCTCACGTATCAACGAGAACGATGAGAGCTGCGCTTCAAACCACGAGGGCGCCAGTCATTTTCTCTCACAGTGCTGCACGAGCTCTCTGCAATTCCAGCAGAAACGTGCCTGACGACGTGCTCAGAAATCTGGTAAGTTAAATCCTTCAAATGTCGAGTGTTTTTATGTTAACAATAAATGTTATTACTTTTAGTTTTATTTTCTTACGTGGCTTAGAATTGTTCCTTTCTGTTCTCATCTCTTCCTTCAATTGACCAGCTTTCATTGAAAATTATTATAAGTTTATATGATAAAATTTTGTTCAACAAGCGTCCGTTTTTATTGAGTCCATAATGAAACTTTTCTTCATCTTCAAAAACACTTTAATATCGAAATAGATTTTTTGTTATACTCGCTCCAAAGTTTAACTTTTAAGCGCTGGGTGGCGTCCGAAAAGATACTCATTTCTAGAGACTCTACCATACCGCCTTTTTTCCGCGGCCTAGGCCGCAAAGTTTACTTTCCCCTTCTTTTCCGTACTGTCCTTGTGCAATCGGATGTAATTTAGAACAAAATAAATCAAATTCTAGTGTACCGACCGATGGATTTTAAGTATAAATTTTAAACTTAGTTACTATTGAGTGGCGCTAATTCTTTCTCTGCTGACAGTTTATTACGAAGCGGACTTAATGTTAATAAAATAACAAGCGCGTTATAAATAAATATAAATAAAAAGATAATTAATATAAAATTAAGTTTTTTTGTTCTTGTGAAACTTCATAAAATTTGAATGTCATTATTTGCCTCCTATCCCTCAAAAGTTAAACTTATGGAGCGATAATAACAAAAAATATTGTATGTCATTTGGCCACTAAGTGGTGATTTTGACAACGACGATTTTACGATATTCGCTTTAAAGTTTGTGACGCAAATTTACGAAAACGAGCGTAAATTTCCGTCCTCGGCTTCGCCTCGGACGTTAAAATTACGCCCGTTTTCGTACATTCACGCCACGAACCTTAAGCTCATATCGCAACATCGTCGTTGTCAGAAAATCGCCACTTTGCGGCCATATGACATAAATTACTATTTTAGTAGATTTTATAAAAATCTAACTATTGCAGCCGTCCTCATGGCGCAACTTTTAAAAAATTTAGCCATTTTCTGACTCAGTATGTCGAGCTGAGTCAGAAAATGTATATAGTTCAAAAATTTATATATGTATGTATATATAATATATATATACATATGTAATATAACGTGGGATGTTGCCGCGATTGTGTCTACAGTTCTCGACGGATCTAGATGAAATTTGTTACACATATTCTTTGGATAATAACCTTAAATGAGTTCAAAGATGAGCGAAATCCATCCATAAGTTTAGAAATGGCAGCTCTTCAAAATTATCAAAATAGTGAAAATCACGTTTTCAGTGACTTCATTGATGTATAACTTTTAATAGCAAAAAAAGATAGCTGATTTTTGATAAATTTATGTGAAAACTCATAAAATCACTTCTAATTTGACTACATAACGTTAACTTTTTGACCATTATTAGTTATTTTATCGAAGTTAAGAGTTCAATTGAACCATTTTCAGGCAATGTGTAATACAACCTACTTATGTATGTTAAAATAAATTTTTCGTCCTAGGAGGACGTATGGGGGGTTTTTACGCGCAGACGACACTCAATTTGTAAATAATACGCGTACGCGCCAGTATCTACTGGGCTGTATAGAACTTTATACAGTCGAGGACAATGTCACGCAAGCGTCACCAATCTCTATACAGCCGAGTAGCTTACGTTTCAACTGTCATTTTAAATTAAAAAGTGCACCTTTGACTAACTTCAAGACTTTCATGTATTTTTATTTAGAGGATTAGAGGGTTATGGCGTCGTACGCTATTTATTTATAAATTGAGTATCCCCTGCACGTAAAAACCCGCATACGTCCGCCATAGGACGAAAAATTTTTTAAGCACCATGGGCAAGCCACGCGCAAATACGGTCTCGGCGATAATTATTTGCAGCAGGGATATAAAGCCTCGGCCCTATCGGGCCTCGGCTTTATACTATCCCTGCTGAAAATACTTATCACCTCGACCGTATTGGCGCGTGACTCGCCCAAGGTACATAAATAACTATTATTCCATGTCAAACGAAAGTTATTGAGACAAGATGATAATTAATTATATGAAATCTACCTTCTATTTCGTGTATGGCCGAATGGCGTCTTTTTTAAATGATACTCGCGAATTTTTATCAAAAAAATTTTTTAGTTTTCAAGATCAATTTATCGAAACGAAAAATTTCGGAAAAAGATAATTTTTAAAAAATATTTTTGAAGTCATTCAAATAACCTAACAAATGATAAATCTAAAATTTATTTTATTCAAATTTCTGATAACCACTCTCACCCTTATCTCGATTGTGGCAAGCTCCATTTAAATCAGTCGATCTGTTTGCGAGATATCAAACGATAAAGGTTACGTTTATTTTTAAATTTTGGTCAACATCATCGTTTGAATAAATCTATATCAATTTGAATGAATTTCGTGATAGACAGAACCGATTGAGATACGAATCTTATTCAATTTTTAAATCAATTGCGATTGGATTGCTAACTCTTAAAATTTTATTATATCCTCGAACTATTTTTATCAACATCTTCAATCGCTTAAAATATATTTATTTGTTTACTCCTGAGTAAAGAAATGAATTCGAGCGCTGAGAGCTTGAAAATATATTTGTTCCAGAGTTTCAAGTTCTCGAAATTAAATATTGTCAGGTATGGCTTTTTTCTTCGAGTACGCAGGCAGTAAAACTCTCCGATATCTAGCCCACAGGGTCAACCAGTTTTCCAATTTTTTATAACCAAGTTTTACTGATTTATTTGCTCTAAAAACCGACCCGCATAAAAGTCTGTGCGGAAATAGAATATAACATTGCTTTGCATATATTTCAAGCTAAATAATATGTGTGTTAAATAAAGAAGACTTGAATTTGTATTTTTGTTGATTTTGAAAAATAATGCTTTTATAAAAAAAAAAAAAAAAAATTAATTAACATAAAATATTCGCGACTAATGGATGTTGAAATAATTGAAAACAAATTGAGCTACTGCGACGTCATTAGCCAGGACTTGAGTTCTATTGAAAATGCTATAATTGTAAGCTCAAGAGCCACTTGGTGAGTTTTGAAAATGATATGCGTTTCGCAGAAGTTAAGCTTTAATTTTTACACTATGTAGTCAATTGAAAAGATAAAAAAGTTTAAATTAATATTTTTCATACTTCAGCGATAATAATATCGCTAATATATATTATATTACTTTACATACAAGTAAAGGCTGTAATTATCATTATTATAATTATATAAAAAAATAAAATCACTGTGATTTATAATTAGGCTCTTTTGTTGATGTATGCGGAGAATAGTGTAAATATTTGATTTACTTAATTTAGATTTTTTTATTCCGCGTATTTTTTTTTTCTTTTTCATTAGCCTTTTACTTTCCCGCTGTTCATTTAAACTTTTTCTTATTCTTAAAGCAGAAGTGGTTTTTAAAGTCTCAAACAGTGACAAACTTTACCTTAAAGTTTTATGTCAATAAAACAAAATTTATATAAATTATTTACTTATTTGTGTACAAACTTGTAATTATTTAAAAAAAATTACTTTTTATTAAAGCAATTCCCTAAAACTTAGATCTACTGTTTCAAACAAACTATTTAAATAATAAATTAAACAATTGTTAAGTACTTTTGTAAATTGAAGAAAAAATGAGATTCAAAGTAAGGAAAGGGGATTTATAATAAATTTTAAATTAAAAGTTGGTATAAATACTAATGATAATTAAATAGTTTTAAAAAATAGAGAGCAAGAAAAAGGATCTAAAGGTGGAAATAACAGAAATAGAATAAAATAAAAAATAGTAGAATAAAATGGAAAAAAGATAAAATTGGATTGGTGCCCAGTAATTATCGGACATCAGCCAACAAACCGAACCAATTAGCCGAGCTGTGCACCGAAATAGTCGAGCGTGGTTAAATCGTCAATACGATCATCCACCGCTAGTTGCTAGACACCCTCGAGCTTTATGAAAGGTCGAGTAGGTGCCATTGATAGACGATTGATATAAAAGTACTCAAAGTCACTCATTAACACATTTACAATGGCATCAAGTACTTCATTATTATTCTTATTATAATTATTATTATTATTATTGTTGTTACTGTTATTGTTATTATCATTGCCATTATTGTCCATGAGAATCGCGTTATTTTAAGCCCACCTTTTCAGTAATTTATCTGATCAAAATTTAATCATCATTTTGGCAAATACAATTTATTTTAGTGCTTTATTTCAGTTAGTCATTTATCAATTTAATAACTTGGTAATTGTTTTAGGTATTGAAATGGTTTTTATAAATTTGTTTGAAAAAAATTGACAATTGATTCAAAAAATAATCTCCTTTAAATTTCACTTTTTGTAAGTTTTGCCTTCTTAATTCAAGAAAATAACTCTTGGACTTTATTGTTTATAAACAAGATTTATAAATATTTTTTCTACAAATTTTTTTTGCCTCTAAAACTTGAAATTTTTCGGATTTTTGCTACTTTCTATCCCATAATAAAATTGAGATGAAATGTATGTGAAACCAATCTATTCGTGATGTGATTGGTTGAAAATATTTATTCTCATTCTGATTGGTTGAAAGTGAATATAATATACATAAACGACACATAAATATATCATGACAATAAATATGCGGCGCGCGCTTGCGCGCGAAAATTAAATTCTAGTATATTCAAAAAAACCTTGAATATTTTTCAAAATTTTTTAAGTAAAAAAAATACTTATTACAGTCAAAAGTTTTGTTTTCTTAAATGAAAAATTTTTTTTGACTCAAACTAATAATATTTTAAATAAAGAAACTGTTATTAAAAACAACTTAGAAGAGAAATAAATTGTTTTTCGTAGAAGAGTATATGTACGACTGCTCAATTTTAAAACACAGTAGCTGGAAAATTTTTCTACTTGATTTTTTTTGTATTACTGCATTTTTTATAATTTTTAGACCTTAATTTCAAGTAATTTTTCTTAAAAATACTTATGTTCAAGTGTTTTCTAGTTATTATTATTATTATTATTATTTCTTTATTGATGTAAACCTAACAGCCCTACAGGGCCAATTGTAAGGTTACAAAAAGTTACAATAAGTAATTATAAGTGGCGCATGTAGCCAAATAACATAATTATAAGCGATAATAATTAGTATAAAATATGAATTATATAAAAATACAATAGAAAGTATTATTCAAGTGTTACAGTATTATATACAACTTAGTGTTTAGGTAATAATAGTATATTAATACATAGGCATATAATAACTATACATAAGTGTAACATATAGTTTTTAATTTAGTATTTAACAGTATATAATTCATGATATACGATTCAATAATACTAAGTTATAAATCAAATTTTTTATCAATTTGGCGCGCAAACTTTTTTTTAATAAGAAAAATTTTTAAAAATCTTAAAATTGTCAGTTACTGTGTTTTGAAATTGGGCAGCCGTGTACTTCTATATAATTGATTATAAACATTTTTAGCTGTTTTAGATAGATTGTTTGAAAATAAAAATATCGTGGAAGTAGTCAAAAAAACAGCTTTGTATAAAAAATTATATTTTCTTCATTAATTCAATTATCCAAACGTTAAATCAAGTAATTTCGCAATAAATTTCAACAAAACTGATTTCAAGAACACGCCTACTAAAAATAAAATTTCAGCACATTAAATTCAAAATTGAATTCATTACCGTAATATCAAAAACGCTGATCTGGAAAAACCGCACTATAGTTCTCTCAAAGTAAAACACAACGTCCCAGATCTTTAAATCAATCAGCATAAACCATAAAACGATAAATAGTAGCACTATGAAATATGCAGCGAATGCAATATTGATAAATTGATAATCAAATTCATGTACTGAACTATTAAATTGGTCTGAAAGCCCCTAGTGTCATCATCATCATGACCGTTGGTGATTAGTAAATCGCGGTTGTGGTCATTGTGGCACGTTCCTATGAGATGAACTATTATGAAACTTTGGAAATTCTCGCCAAACACAGATGACATTAAAACTTGTCAACAAGTCATACAATCTCTTCTTCATCTATATACAGATGAGATCTATTCACAGTTGGATTTTCAACTTAGCTTGCGCCGTTATAATACCTCAATAAATTAAATAACAGCAATATCCTCTGGGTTCAATAATCTGTATAGTTCGAACCGGAAGTTTAGATTTGTAACGTGATTCGTATAGTTTAGTTTTACTATTAACTATCAACTATCGTTCGAAGTATACATGTATACTACGAAATAGTTTCTACATATTTACATTATAATACATAATATATTTATGCGAGCTAATACTAAACCATGCCATACCATAGAATAGTATTTCACGGACCGTTTTCTACCAGGTATTCGATCCAAACTTGTGTATATACATACATATCCACATACATATGGATATATTTGAGTACAATAGTAGTATAGCAGTTATAAGGAGACTTTGGTACAAACGTGGTGTAGTAGTTTGACTAGTTTAGAACCCACGCTATGCTACTATACATGCTTACTACCCCAAACGAATCGACGGATGCAAATACGGAAAGCCTCCGAAGGAAGGTTAGTCGAAAGTTTTCGTCGGACATCCGGCTGGCATGAGAATTATTCGATTTCGGTGCACAAGCTTTCAAAGAAGACAACAAACTCTTGTACATCAAATATGCGCATTGCCAAATTATTTTTTTCATTCCTTTACTTATTTCAACATATCTCATGGCTTTTCAGTTTTATTTCTATCCAGGGAACTGGATCTCGTTTTTACTTATCTTTTTTTGTTTCACTCATCCATACATCAGTATTTTTATTATTATTTTTTTTTTATTTGTATAAACTATATAGGCTACGGGCGCGGTAGAAAAGTTTTCAATGCTTTTAAAACGTAAATATATTGAAAAAGTATTGCAGTGAAGAAAAAAATTTGTTGGGAGGAGATATTTTTAAATTTGTAAGTGAGTAGACAGACGCAGAATAGTAAGTAGATAAATCGATTGTTAGTCAGACGTAAGAAGGATTTGCTGAATAAAGTACTTTTTTTCTTATTTCGTGAATTTATGCAGTTTTAGAAATTTCTTCAAATGGTTTCCGTAAACATGGTGTTAAAACTTTTTAAAGCATTCTGTGTTATAGATAAGATAAGAGTCTATTGATAGTTATACGCCCTTATGTCACCCGGAAACTATGAGAAGTTATAAAAAAAATTTTTTTTTAATTTAAGAACATATAATATAGTCTGTTGTCGGTAATTCAGTTTGGACTAGTGATAACAAATGCCAATTGAATATATCGGATTGTTTATTTGAAATACATAAAATGCACTGAAGATTATCAGGCTGACTATCAATACTCCCAACACTGTTCAAAAAAATTAAACTATAGTAAATGAAATTTTGTTAATAATTAGTTTTCTATTCAAACCTAGTTGCATTTTAATAATTCTGTCTTATAAGTAATCTAAACTAAAGATTAACCAAAAAATGAAATCAATCTTAAAGATTATATTGGTTGTAAGTTTATGAGTAATTTCTTTATAGTAAAGTTTATTTACTTTAATATATGATAGGCCTGGAGATAAGGCAGTTTTACGCGCAAACTCTACCTATTTATTTATCATTTTGTAATTTTTTTTAATGATTAATTTTAAAAATAGAAGAATCAATTTACGAAGGACTATTATTAACATACTTCTGCCAAGTTTAATGATTTTTTATTCAAAAAGCGTTTCAGTATTTTGTCCAAAATTTTAATATTCTCTGTCCTACATGTTATTAAGGTAAAAAGTCTACAACTTTGAAACAGAAAAAAATTGTGTTTTTGATTTTTAGTTGGTTAAGTTCAAAGAATTTTTATTGTTCTCAATTAATAAAATTTTATTTATTAATCAATTTTATGGTTATAGATTAGGGTGTACCAAAATTCAATTTCCGTGGAGAACTTTTTAAAATTGGAATTTTGAGCTCCGCTTTTAACAGGAACTGTGTTTAACCATTTCCTGAGATATTTTGAGACGTTCGTATTTGATTTTCATAGAATTTTTAGCAGGAGCTTTGCTTGGGCATTTCCGCTGTGGAGATATCTCAAAATATCTCAGGAAATACCTAAGCACAGCTCCTGTTAAAAGCAGAGTTAGAAACTCCAATTTTAAGAGGTTCTCCAAAGAAAGTGAATTTTGAAACACAATATTATAGATAGTCAACAAAAAAAATTATACGCTTTTCTAAAGATATATTTTACCAGAATACTTCTGAGTTGATAGAAAAAAAAAATTCAAAATATTTTTCTGACACTCAAAGTTAATAATTTTTATTTTCTTCAATAGTATACTAAGTACAAAAGATATTCTTGATAAATACACTGAAAGTGAGAAACCTGTTAGGGTTAGTGTGACAACATGAGTCTCAAGTTATCAATTAACTTGGAGGTCAAAGCCACAAAACTCAGATTGTAATTTACAATGTGACCTCAGCAAATTAAGTTCAGCTTAATCGATTGTACTCTTTGTTTGAAAAACTATTTTATTGCGAACTTGAAATAAGTTTATTTTTTCATCTCTTGATTTGATACAAGAGTTACTTTTTTAATTGATAAAAAATTACTCCTCTAATTGAACGCTTGATTTGTGCTATGACTGAAGTGTTATAAAGAATTGATTGAAAATTTCAACACTCTAATTAAAAAAGTTTATGGTAGAAAACTGATGTTTCATTCACTACAAAGAAAAACTTTTTTTGAAAGTAAATTACAAACGTAGTTTAGTTTTTTATTTATATAATTTTTATTGCAAATGAAAAAATTTTTGCGCAAGCTGTTTCGAAGAAATATAAAACTATGTAATTATAATTATTTAAATTGTTATAGGCTAAAAACGGCGGCATCGCTATGGTACCTTTTTATACATACTTCATAACGTGCAACAGTACTGCAACAATAAAAGACGTGATCGGTAAGAGAAGTTTTGATGTTATATAAGTCAAACCAAATATTTTTTTGATCAAAATAAAATATTCTACTGTTAAAGTGAATTTAATTTTTTGAAAAAAAAAATAATAACAATAATAACAATGTATATTCATTTAAAAAAAAATTCAATCATTGTAATATTCCAGCACACATCAATCATATAAGGAAAGTAGCAGGTATCGATCATGTGGGTATCGGAGCAGGTTTTGATGGAATAAATTTGTAAGTTGATTTATTATTACTTTTATTTTTTGAAAATTATAATAATAATAACATATTTTTCTCCATTTATTGTCATTTAAAACCAAGAAAATTTATTGCTTTTAATATTAAAATCCAATATCACGTTTGACTTACAGAAAAAAAAAAAAAAACCATTCTCAGGAACCTTTTTCATCTACAATCAATCTCAGAACTCAAACACTTAGTAAAATCAATCTAAAACCTTTAAATTATTCCCAAGTTACCGATGGTAAAATGAAAAACCATTAAAATAAAATGTACTTTACTTTTTCATTATTTATGTCTATGGCTATATAGACATATATAATGATAGAGACCGAAACTCTACGGCTTTTATATAAGACTACTTACTTTGATTCAACAAACTTTATCAATACTCAACAATGGCAATTGATTTTTCCAACTATCTCTTATCCTCATTGGACATCTTTTATATTATGCGACTATTGGCATTCCAGTACACCAACTGGACTGGAAGATGTTTCAAGATATCCTCAACTGTTGGCAACCCTTCTAGAAGACCCAATGTGGACTGAAGAGGACATAAAGAAACTAGCTGGCCTCAATCTATTGAGAGTTTTCTCGAGAGTCGAAGAGGTTAAATTAATCTATTTAATTGTTTATTTGCTTTTTTGCGCTTCTACTTTCATTTTAGAAGATCTAATTGCTGCTGATCTAAAAACGAACTTATAAGAGTCAATCTAAAATAATTTAATTTTAAAAACTATCTGTCATCGAATTATCAAAAAATATCATTGAGTTGTTCAATCACAATTTGAAATGTAATGTGATCTAAAAACAGATTAATTAAATTTTTACGATTCGCCAAGTTTAATTAAAATACAACAGAAAAATTATATCGAGTTTGATATTAATATTATCGAGCAAGTATATAAAATATTAAATTCAAAATGTGAAATAATTACTTTGTCTCTCACTATTCCGATGATGAAATAACCGAAATATAAATAACCGAATAATATAATGAACGAAAATGTAAATGAAACTAAAATATAAAGTGTAATGCATCATACAAGTTGAAATTCTGTAACATTAGAATAGATTTACATATGTTACATTATCTCAATACTAAAAATAGTGAAATTTTCCATTTTTTGCAGTCACAATTCCATTCCGTATTTTGTTACAAAACAAACTGAGTTCTTTGATAAGTAAAAATAATATTTTTTACTTAATATATGAATTCTACAGACGAATTAAAAAAATTACACCTTCATTATATACTTGGATTAAGAAATTAAGGGGGGGGGTAGGGTTTTCAAAGCAAAAAAGAAGCATATTTTTGTGATTTTTTTGCGATAATATGAGTGATATAATTTTATTAAATTTAATTACATATTATTGTACAACTATTGAAGTATGTCAGAAAAAATTTTCAATGAAAAATATTAATGCATAAGCCCGTGACGTTGAATCTCCAGAGACGCCTCGAAAAAAGGGGTTTTACGGTGAACATCATAACTCGTCACCGGATCATCTGAAACAAAAAAATTGATATGCGTTTTGAAGGGGATATATTTCTCGAGGTAATTAAGAAGAGTTTTTTTTTTTTTCATTTTTGTCCATTTTTTACAGTACTTGAAAGTGGAAAACGTGATTTTAGCTAAAAAAATCGCGGTTAATTTGTTATTAAAAAATAGACAAAAATGAAAAAAAAAAAACTCTTCCTGATTACCTCGAGAAATTCATCCCCTTCAAAACGCATATCAATTTTTTTGTTTCAGATGATCCGGTAACGAGTTACAGTGTTCACCGCAAAACCTCTTTTTTTTTTCAAGGCGCCTTTGGAAATTCAACGTCACCGGCTTATGTATCAATATTTTTCGTTGAAAATTTTTTCTGACATACTTCAATAGTTGTACAATAATATGTAATTAAATTTAATAAAATTATATCAATCATATCACCGCAAAAAAATCACAAAAATATGCTTTTTTTTCACCTTTAAAACCCTACCCCCCCCCCTTAAAAAAAAGTTTAACTGAGAACATGAATTTACTTGAAATAATATTGATAATTTTGATTATGCTGTCGGAGTAATGGACAAAATTTATAGTTTGATAGTAATATAAAATTTAAATGATATTGCCAAAAGTGTTATTGTATTTCAAAATAATAATAATAACAATGAAAATGAAAATTATAGTTTTGAATTCAATTACGCAGACAAACACAAAGGGTTTTTGTCCTGTCCAAAATTGTTATTTAAAAAAAAAAAAAGGAATTTTGAGTAAAACTTTTTGATGTAAAAAATTCAGAAACTGCAGCAATGCTACAATCTTAAAATAAAATTTACAAAAAAAACATTTATTAACTATTAATAAATACTATCTGATGAAAATTTATTTCAATAGAAAAAAGCTTTGATTAAGTTACGAGTAATTATTTTAGTGCAATTAATATTTTTTGTTTCGAATAAGCTTCAAAGTTTCAATAAATCTCGTTTATTACTCTTAAGTAAATTCCTTATCAATAGCATATATATCCATTAAAAAATTCTCTAGTAAAGACTCATTTTTGCTTGAAAGCTTTTAATAAAAAATTTCGGTAACATAAATACCAGCTTTAAATATTGGACTCAGCAGCAAATGGATCTCTTTAACTCAATGCCACTAAACTTGATTACTAAAAGTACCCACTATTTCATTTTCAGGTACGTGATGAGTGGCATAAAGCAGCAGTGCTACCTGTTGAGAAAATAAGCCCACCAGATAACTCAGCCTGTGCATATGGCGCATCTTGATCCTCTTTAAGAACATTAGTACCAGGATTCCTCGATTTCGGACATATTCCCAAAATTTATCACGGTCCACCAGATCCCAATGCCAAAATCCACGTGGAAAAAGCAACGAGACATTCATAAAATTAATAACTATATTCAACAATAATAACAATTATTATTATTATTATTAATCATAAATTTTAATTTACTCAAAAATTAATAAATTAACTGGTGAAAAAAAAATATATAATTTAGAACAAGTTTTTTTTTAAACTTGATAAAAGATGTTTTCCACGCTCACTTCTCTAGACTCTAGTTTTTTAAAAAAATATAGAAAAATTTACGATAAAAAAAAACTATAAAATAAAATTATAATAATAAAAAAATTTGAATCACTTTCTGAAATAATATTTGCTTTACATCAATTCCTCAGGTATGCTTAAAACAATTATGTTAGACATCTGGAGTAATGTATAACTTTATTAACATAGACCCTAGCGGTTTCGGCGACTCAGCGTAAACTCGGAGTTTACGCGGAGTTACTATGGAGTATACGCCCTCTCGGAGTTTAATCGGGGTATAAGTGGAGTTTACGCGGAGTTTTAGAGGTTTATGCAAGGAGTATCGTGTGCAGTTACACGGAGTCACAAAAGTGTATTATTAGAGTTTTCGAAAAGTTTTCGATGAGTTTTTTCGGAGTCGCTATAGAGTTTACCTCGCGTTTTTGTTGGATATTTTCGGAGTTGCAGTGGAGTTTTTTCGGCGTTTTCGTCGAGTTTTTATCGAGTATTTTCAGAGTAGCTAGGGAGTTTTTGTCGAGTTTTTTTCGATGTTTTGCGGAGCTTCATTGGAGTTTCGCTGGCGTTTTTTCGGAGTTTTGGTAGTGTTCTTATGGAGTTTACTCGCGATTAATAATACTTCATGGGATGAAAATTAAATTTGATTTCACAAAGATGACTATAAATAAATCATTTTTCAATTACGGTGTAGTTTTTATTAATTTACTTATTTATTTACAAGTTTAAATATATTTATCTACATAGAATATGTTATTCAATAAATATATTATGAAGTTTATAAGTAAAATATACGATACATAAAAAAATGACATCATACAAAAATTATCAGAAGTTTACAGTTGATCCACTGAAATAATATTATCATAACTTAAATTAGAATTTTATCAATACATAAAATGATCCAAAACTTTAATCAGTTTCCGTAAGACAGACAGTGTTGTTTATTACTGCGGGTCTTATTAAATGACTGAATAGCAGATACGGACAATGTCTCAAATAGCTTGACCGGTTGAGTCCTTGACTTGTAATGGATTAAGGTCCGGGTTCGAGTCCCGGTCTGTCCGAATTATTTTTTTCGGTTTTTCATTCAATATCAATCAGAAAACTCCGATGAAACTCGCAAAATACTCTTGGAAAGCTCCACAAAAACTCGGTGAAGACGCCGACTAAACTCGACAGAAAATCCGAAAAAACACTGATAAAACTCGGGGAAAACTTCATGAGAACACCAGCGGAATTCTAACCAAACCCCGTAACGATCACAATTAAACACCAATTGACCACTATCGTCTTCATGTGTCACAACTGCAGACAATACTCCGAGTTTACTCCCCATATACGCCGACTATACTCCGTCGTTACGCTGAGTTTCAGACGAGTTTCTACAGAGTTCTATCGGTGGCACCGAAACCGCTAGGAGAGGTAGAATTGAAAGTATGTTTAACGACCGAAGTTACAATAAGAAAAAAATTAAAAAAATGGATTAACAAATATTAGAGATTAATAGACTTAAATAAAGAAAATAAAATTATTGTCACTGTTGTCGATTTTGTTTATTAATCTTTTTTATTAAATGTTAATTAATTACTAATAAAATTAATAGCTAAATTAAATTAAAAGACCGCTAGCTTTTGCAATAATTAAAATCGACCGGGCGCGTAGAACGGTGAAATAAATTTTTAATGCTTATCGAAAAATAATTTATTACGGAAATAGTTCATTGTCGAGTATTTTTAGTAGCAATATATTAAAAGAATTAATTTTTGCTACAATTATTCATTTCTAAACGAGTAATACTTTTGGTATACTTTTTTTAAAAATAAAATAAACCAAAATTAAATTAAACTAAACAATAAAATAATGATAGTGAGCTCTATGATCGCGAAACAGATTCAATTAAGAGTACACTTATATTATATCCTCTTTATGAATATTTTTAACTTCCCGCTTAGAAAAATTGATACTAAAAAAAAAACTAGGAAAACGGTTGACACTAAAGGTCATCCCTGCAACTTCTCGCTAATTCCATACTTAAGCGCTCAAATTGCACTAATTACGTTTTTGAGCTCTTCGAACTATAATATCAAAAATTTAAGGGCGATGGAACTCTCTCGAACGCCGCTTTTTTCGATCAAATCGGTAAAGCCGTTTAAAAGTTATTCCAAAAAGACCACATTTGAAAAAAATTTTTTTCTAGTTTTTTCGAGATTACTCTAAATCTACCGGTTCGAATCAGCCAAATTGTATTCAAAATCTGAGTTTGGTGAAGCCCTTTCGAATGGCGCCAACCGCGATGAAATTAAAACCAATAACTTCCCAAATTTTGAAAATTTCAATTTTTTTAGCGGGAAGTTAAAAAAGTTTGACAAATCCAAAAGTGCACGACTCATAATGCTCATTCGTTCAATAAATAAAAAAAAAAATAGTAAATGTTCTGAAAAAAAATTTTTTTTTTATTTTATTTTAAATATTACTTTACTTTCTTTAATTTAAATATTACTTTTGCAATTTGTTATTTTTTGTTTGTTTGCTACTACAAGGTATACAAACACTCATGAGTTTTTTTTTTTTTATTATTTTAGTTTTTCATTAATAACGATTATACAAAACTAAGTAAGATGATCATTTGCAATACCAATCTTCACAAAGTGGATTTCAAGCAGATAAAAAAAAAACTGATTGAATTCGTGAATTTTTACGCAAGTTATCGTGTTTCAAACGGAAAATGTGCTGGTTGACAGAAATTTTCTTTCAACTATTTTGATATTTTTTTCTGTTTCTAGTATCTCAAATTGATTTTGACCAGTGACAGAATTAATCTCCATTAAATTATTTATCGAATGATGCGCAAATTAATAAGACTACATGGATTACCAATCGTTAATTAAATAGCTGCGAAACCGAGGCAAAACAAATTTTTTGATCATAAAGCACTCTCTGATGTCTTGCATCATGACTCGTGCAATTTGGGAAGTTATTGGTTTTAATCCGTTTTGCAAAAATCGAGTTTTCATCAGGTCTCGACGTTTTGAAGTTCTAGAAGTCTTCCCTGGCTATTTTTACGGCGGTGTCCGTGCGGCTGTGTGTGTGTGTAATATGTGTGTGTAAACCTCTCATAACTTCTGAATGGCTCGACCGATCGGGGCCAAACTTTGACATTCCAAAGAATATCGTTGCCATCAAATTTCCGAAAAATTTAAACCAATTTGGTTCGCTAGATTTTGAGAAATGTCAAAAACAAAATTTTCGAAAAATCGTTTTTTTGGAATAACTTTTAAAAATCTATATCAATCAATCTCAAAAACTAATCAGCTCTCAACCTTGGAAAACCACGTCGATCGCCGCCGGATCGGTCAAAATCGGTTGATTCCTTTGTGAGTGTGTGTGTGGTGTATGTAAACCTTTCATAACCGTTGAACGAATTATCCGATTCGATCGAAAAAAGCGGCGTTGCAAAGAGTTCCATCACCCTTAAATTTTTGATACTAGTTCAAAGAATTCGAGTCAATAAATTTTGAAAAATCTCAAAAATTATAATTCCAAATTTTTTTTTTCAAATATCTTCTCAACGGCTTCACCGATTAGTTCTGAAAACTTTTCAGCTTTTAACCTCAAAAAACCACGTCGATCGCCGCCGGTCCCGTCAAAATCAGTCGACTCGTTCGTGAGTTATCGTTGTCTAAAAAATGCGGAAAAAGTGGATTTTTCAAATTTTTCAAAAGTTTTCGGTCTGATCAATTTGTCTTCAAAAGTATATCATAGGATTCAAAAGACTGCGTCGAATGCTGCCATCCACGTGAAAATCAGTTCATTCATTCAAAAGTAATTTCAGTTTGAATATTTAAAGAATACTGTTTTATTGAACTTCTATCAGATTTTTGAACTCAAAAGCATAGAACAGCTAACGATTTGAGCTCGGAAAGCTCAAAATAACACATAAGTAATATTTTTGAGCTTGAAGAGCTCAAAAATGTCATAAGTGCAATTTTAAGCGCTTAGGTATGGAATTAGCGGGAAGTTTCAGGGATGGCCTTTAGGGTAAATCGTTTTCCTAATTGTTTTTTTTTTATTTTTAATAAATTCAAATTCTTTTCTTTTCTTTCCTTCATTCACACTAAATTTACTACTGCCAGAACCAAGGGAACAATGTATCGCTGCCATTGACGTTTTGACCTGTTATTATTATGGTCGAGTTGTACCGAAAAAATAATCAGTTCAAAATATTATTTTACTTTTCATTATTGAAGATATCATGTTAATTTTATCAGAAATATAGATTTTTTTCCAATCATTACCAATATTTAATGTTTAATTCCTTGAATTTTGAAACAGTTCAATTCTTCGCAGTAAATTATTAATTTATATAGTACCCCAATATATTTCCATAGTCTTCCATTGTTAAACGTTAATTTTGACAATCAATAAATACAATAATTTTTAAGAACAGTCTACCAAAAGATTTTAAGATAATTCCAAAATAAATTACTTGAAACTTTAAAATTCACAATTTTGCCATTAATTTATTTTTTTCGAACTTTAAAAATATTCAAATAGTTTCAATAAAAATGTAGTTTAGTAAATATTGAAATGGTCGATAAAATAATTGAAAAACGTTATTTATTTAAAAAACTGGCGGTCTAAATTCAAATCAATTCGTAAAAAAAGTTTCAATAAAGCTTTCATAACACTCGCCGACAAGAACTAAAACTGCCGGAAATAATT